TATTACAAAGAGGAGAATTTTTTGGATAATGCTGCAACCGATGACCGTGCGTGGCTGTGGGACCTGCCAGCATTGATTGCCCTTCAGAATCAGGGGATTGACTGAGCAGGCTTGTGTGAAGGCCAAAGGTGCTTGTAAGGACCAAAAAAGAGCAACCTTGGTTAAGCAGCCCTGTGTAGACCTTGGAAGGCCTGCTGTCACCTATGTATCTCTTCACCCTCAGAGGGAGGGCGCCAGATGGAAAATTCGGGACTGATACAGTAAACCGACTGCTTGCTGTCGTCTTGTTCTTGCAATAGCCCTTTCCTGATTGCATGCTTGCTGTGAAAAATTTGGGAATCAGTCTCAATAGGGATTTTGCTTCTGGGGGTCAGGGGACTGACAAACACACTGCGTGCCGAATCCAACATGATGGCGGGAAGAAGCCCGATGGTTCTTCCGCCTAAGCTAAGATTTGCTTCTTGGAATATTCGAGGCTTAGGCGATACCAGTAATCGTTTTAAGAGATCCCGTCTTCAGGAATGGGTTCATAAAGCCAATGTACAAATCTTGGGTTTACAGGAAACCAAGCTTGACAATGAGAAGTTGAGCAGGGCATTGGCCTTATGGGACGGCCCTCAAGTTTGGTCCCCTTCGGAGAGTACGAAGGGTGGGGTGGCCATTTTGATAGTTAAAGACCTTAATGTTACAGTGTTGGATTCGTACGCAGATGCCAGTGGAAGAATGGCATGGATTAAGTTCTTGATTGGGGAAGAGGAGTGGGCAGCAACGTCGGTGTATGCCCCTGTAGACTTCAATCAGAGGGTAGATTTTTTAGCTAATCTTCCTATGTTTATCCCCGGGATAATATTAGACATAACCCAGACATTAAAGGTCTGGATCTCCCCCCATCTATTCAGTGGAAAGGGGGGGCAATTACTGACGACCTCACTGTGGCTTGTGAGAATTCCTTAGAGTCGATGGGTCAGCTTAGAGTAGTATTGGAGGATTACTGTGTGTTATCGGAAGCATCGATAAATTGGGAGAAGTCGGCTTATCTACTTCCCCCCCCACACAGTATCTGTGTGGACTGGGGTCTAAAAGGGGTTAAGGCGGATGACTCAGAACGGATGTTAGGGGTTCTTGTATCAGTGACAAACACGGCTCCCTAACAAGATAGAACTCTTCAGGAGAAGGTATGCTCAAGAATATGGGGATGGGCCCGAAATTACAAGTTGTCAATATTTGGAAGAGCGTTAGTACTCTCGTCAGCGGCCTTGTCGATTCTTTGGTTTCCGCTGGCAGTTCATGCGTTGGGGTGTAAAGCTTACTCCGCCATCAAGCAGGCAGCGGCCCGATACTTGTGGAAACCAGCGTCTTCAGAACACCAGGGTTTTATTGTCAAAGCTGACTGGGATCTAATATGTCGAGGAAAGAAGGGGGCCTGGGCCTTTTAGATCCAAAAGACCAAAACTGTGGCTTGCTTAGCAAATGGGTGATTAAAGCCTGCCTTGGATCTGAACAAAAACAGTGGAAGTTGTTGGCAGAATACATTCTGAGGAAGGAGCTAGTTTTGGAAGATCAGGTCAACATTTGGTCGTGCCTGTTGGCATCTAACTTACCTACAAGGAAAGTGAAGTCCAGAGTATGGGCAGGAATTCTGTCAGCCTGGAACAGGCTAAAACCAGTGCAGCTGCGTAACCCTGTTACTAAAGTGGAGTTAATGAATCAAGGACTGTTTGATAATGCCTTGATCAGACATCCGTCTGGTTATCCGCTGGATACCTGCATGAAAGCAGGCAGTTTCAGCCGTTCTTGGCTAGCCAAAGGAGTTTACTTAATTAAACATATTTGGGATGATCGAAACCAAAACTGGCTATCGCAGGCAGATCTTCGACGGAAATTACCCAGATTACACAAGGTGGAAGAAAATTATGTTAAGATGATGGAGGCTATTCCCCCTCAGTGGAAATCTCTGATTAATAACTCCTCTGAATACTGTATGGGCTCGTGGCTATCTCACCCCACAGACTCCAGTAGAATGATTAAGGTTCTGGGTCCAGATTTGACACAAGGTATTAAAGTGGAAGAGTGGAGAAGAGGTAGAAGGACTGCATTGGGTTATGAGCTGACCAAGGAGGAGGAATCCTCCATACCTTCTATTAGTGACTTATTGGAGGTACGAGTTTTGGAGAAGCATGGCCCGAACAATAAAAAATGTATCTTGTTAAAGGGCTTGGCTCAGGATTTCCTGGTTGATCCTACTCTATATGGGTGGAAAGACGGTCAGGGTGTTAACACCCCTATTATCTTATACTTCACAAAATTGGGCACCTCGACATTGAGAATGGCACATGCACAACCACAGGAAGTAGCGGTTCACAGGTTTAGGAAGACCTTTGGAGAAGTTAAAATCCCACCGGACTTTAGTTCACTATGGAGAACACTAAGAACTATCCCCTCAAAGAAGCAGGTTAGTCTGATGTGGGCACAGTCAATGGGTCTTACAACGTCTGCACTCTGGCTGAGTAAAAGAGGGATGGAGGTAGACTTGACTTGCAAACGGTGTAATTGGTCATGGGAATCTGCAAACCACCTGTGGTTATTTTGTTCTTACTCAGATGAACTGTGGAGGTGGTGGAAGCTCCAATGGGACGACGTGGTGGGCCTCAAATGGAAATGGACAGAGTATTGGATACTGTTGGCCACTCCACCAAATGGGGCAAAGTTGAGCTCTGACTGGGGCTATGTTGCCCTGGTTTGCCGTGGTATAATCTTTGAAGTTATTTGGAAAGCGAGGAACGAGGCAGTTTTCAGGAATCAAGCAATTCACTTTCACCGACAGAGATCAATGGTTAAGCAAGCTCTGAGATTGGCGGTCCTAGCAGACTGGCAAAGATCAACTAGGAGGGCTGACAGAGGTCTCCGTTGGTTTCGTAATGTTTGGACCAGGGACAACTTCCTGGCTGCAGTAACTGAAGAAGGTAATCTTGAGATAGCCAGGTGGTTGGATTGAAAAATATCCTCCTTTGCTGGGTAGGCTCTTCCTCGAGCTTCAGGATTCCTTCTTTTCATTGGAAAGATACTACATGCTGTACTCCTTCTCTAGCACTGTCAGGACAGGGTTACAGGCAGTTAGCTAGTCACATAAGAATCTCTGTGATTAAGAAGTGCTGAAGATGACTAGCTCCCTTTTTGGTGCTTCATGGTTTAATTTTGGGAAGGTATTATTCCCTTTATATGGGACGCTGGACCCGGTTTACAGCTGTTTTAGGATCAGGTTTTGCAAGCAAATGCTGGAGATAGGAAGTTCATGGTAAGCTAAACTGGCTGAGGCTGCCAGAGCAACTCCGGGTCGAATACTGAGGTCCCCGGCCTCTATTCCATATATTTTTGAAATACATTGAAACCCTTCCCCAAAAAAAAAAAAAAAAAAAAAAAAAAAAACCCAACGTACGGTCATTATAGCTGAATTTAGACTGAAAGATACACCAAATTCAGCTATAATGACCGTATGTTGTATTAGGGGGAAGACTGTAGACTTGTGCTTGTGGGGTGAGTGGTGGGGGGAGGGCCAAAGGAGCAGACACCGACGGGACGAATAGCTGAATTTAGACTGAAAGATACACCAAATTCAGCTAAAATGACCGTAGGCTGTATTAGGGGGAAGACTGTAGACTTGTGCTTGTGGGGTGAGTGGTGGGGGCAGGGCCAAAGGAGCAGACACGAACGGGCCTACCTTCGTCCCCCCAATACAACGTACGGTCATTATAGCTGTATTTAGACTGAAAGATACCCCGAATTAGGCTATAATGACCCTACGTTGTATTGGGGGGAAGACTGTAGCTCAGTTGGTACACCCATCAACTGGTGAATCACAGACCTGGGGGCCTAGCCTACCGTCTTCACCCGAGTAGAACGCCCGGTCATTATAGCCGTACCTGGACTGAAAATTGCACCAGATACGGCTATAATGACTGGGCGTTCTATTCCGGTGAAGACGGTAGTTGGTACACCCATGAACTGTGGAATCACAGACCTGAGGGCATACTCACACAAGCACGTTCCTAAATGTATCTGCCTGCAGTTGCGGTCAGAGGTGGATGAATCTAACGACAATCACGTCCCGAGCTTTGTAGAAAAAGTCGTACAGTCTTCCCCCGAATACAACGTATGGTAATTACTTTTTTTTTTTTTTTTAATAGCTGAATTTAGACTGAAAGAAGCACCAAATTCAGCTATAATGACCGTACGTTGTATTCGGGGGAAGACGGTAGTGTGAGTATGCTCTGAGGCCATACTCACACTTAGTCTAGGACTTCTTTAGTTTGTTTGTGGACGTGATTAGGGTCAGATACATCCAGGTCCGACGTCAGATACATTTGAGATAGAACTAGTGTGAGTACGCCCTGAGTTTGAGGGCATTTGAGATAGAGCTAGTTTGAGTGAGTATGCCCTGGGGCCAAGTCCCACTAGCAGCGTTGAGCTACCTCCACGCCTGAATGTGGACGTGTTTGTGGAGACGTGCAGTTCAGGAAACTCAACACCATTTCTGCACATGTCCGCAAAAGCGTCCACATTCAGGCGTTGAGGTAGCTCAACTCTGCTAGTGGGACTTGGCCCCTGAGTTTCGAATCGAGATGGAATTATTATTAAGTGAAAGAAATAAAATCAAGATGAAATTCAGATGGAACTAGTGAAGATTAGTTCTGAAAATGATTTATTTATTTTTCCCGACATGATAT